ATTCTGGGAGTTGAAGTCCACTCATCTTAAAGTGGCCAAGTTTAGACAACACTGGCCTAGAGCATTCAGATGTAGGTAAGAAAAATCTAAATATCATGTTTTAGATGCACTTGTTTTTAGTGGAACCCAGCCACCATAATTGCATCAGTTTATTACAAGTATTGATTTCTGTACTTCAGTTGTTTGAGATGAGAGCTGCTTGTTTGATGCCTGAGAAACTACAGAGTTCGCCTCCTTTGAATCACAGAGACATCCATTCACTAACGTCCCATTAGGAAACCTAGGTGTGTTATTGTTGGCCATTTACCAAGTGCCAGTTTAGCATAGTTGGCATATAACTACTGTTGTGCCTCTGGGTGGAACTTATCTTCTCACTCTCTAGCATCTCTGAATTTCTGAACTAATCAGTCTTGCCACATCTCTGGACCTGGAATGCTTACATACTCTGGGACTCTTAGCACTGTCAAGTGGTTGCTTTTGTGCAATTAGCTACAATTGGGACTGAAAAGGAGATTCTTCATGATATTTAATATAGAAAACCTGACAACACTAGCTCAATGAGCAAGATCCTACAGTACTCAGGAGGAAGTCTTGTTACAAGAATCATTTTGCTTTTCCTCTTTGATCACTCATTCCTTTTTCTTTTACAGCAGCTTCTGAAATCAGCATCTTTTTCTGGCTCTGGCCAAAGAAAATCACCATAAAGTCATGAATCTTTCAGAAATTCTCTCAAAATTTTGGAGTCTTTCATGAGAACTTCCGGTAGGTGTTCTGAGGTCGTCCTGAGAGTTTAATGAGACTTCACAAGATTTCACCATTCCTGTGGGAGTTTAACATTTTCCCAAAAGACTGTGCAAGGCTTCACAAGACTTTATTTCCGTTGGAGCAACTGCAACCCTTGGTGGTCAACCTGGTGTTTTGTCACTAAATCTTGCTGTAAATCCAATGTGACTATAAGCTCTTTTGACCTGACCTAAATTAATAAATTGTTCCCTGCTTGTCTGGGGATGACTGCAGACAGAGAAATTGTGATTCAAAAAAATAAATAAATGAAAGAGTACATTCTCAAAACACAGGGACAGGCAAGTTGGTAGCTCTAGGAATGGTAGTTCCAACACACCTAAAGGGGAAGTGGTAAGCCAACTGTATATCTGATTTAAAGACAAATGCATTCTGGGAAAAAGCGCAAGTGTAGTAAGGACAATATGGATTGCAAGAGTTTACCAAGGTCGTCATCTGCAATCTCTGTAAAGAGCACTGTGAATTCAAGATGCTGTCTGGCCTTGGGCTTAATAAGCAAGAGCTTTCCTTTCAATTATTTCTGTGTGGATAGAAATATTAACCCTGTGGTTTAGTTGTCACCACAATGTGCTATAGAAGAATGGCTTTACAATCCATAAATATATCCTAATAAATCTAATTCCTTTAGAGGAGACACACAGTGGGCCAGACACTTCTGAGGAATCGTCTTGTTCAAAGTTAAGGCCTTCCTGAGAATGGAACCTTCAGAGCAACCATGTAGTCCAGTGTTGTCCAAACTTGGCCACTTTAAGATGAGTGGACTTCAACTCCCTTGCTGGCTGGGGAATTCTGGGAGTTGAAGTCCACTCATCTTAAAGTGGCCAAGTTTGGACAACACTGATATAGTCATATCCTTCACTTCTTTATTTGGCTGGCTTGCCCAAGGTTTTCCTCACCACCATCGGTGTCAAAATCACTGGCAATGTCAGTGGCCTCCTCATGTAACCACTCAGATCAGGTGGCTGAGGATTATTGAGGTACTGCAGATGGAAATTACAGAGGAAGCAGAGTACATACACATGTATTGCAATATTCCAGGAATGATCAACATCCCATTAGCCTTTTCAATGCATTGGATATTCAACTTGCACATCCTGCACTGAGAGTCCAGAATGCAGTCTATTTTAAATTTCTCCAACCATCCTCAGAGATGGGAAGTGTAGTGGAACAGTGATACACAAGGGGCTGGGTGGTTGCTCGAAGATCAGTATGAAATTATGAAAAGCCAGGTGGATATTTAGGATGGTAGGAAGCAGGAAGTGGAAGGTAACCAAATTAAATAGGATCAAAACAGTGAAGGGGCCAGTAAATTTGAACAAGCTGCTTGGACAGCCAAGTGAAAGGGAGATACTTGGTGGAGTGTCAGATGGGAAAGCTCTCCTGGCAATGGTGATCGGTAGAATGGAAATAGGCGGCCTATAACCTGTTCCTGAAGGAGTGCTGAGTTGCTTGAAGTTCCCAAAGAAAGCAAGTAGCATCAGGGATGGGAAAGGTTTGGGAGATGGTTGGGAAAAAGCGAGGGTGATATTCATAGGTGGCCTCCGATGGTGATAACTGAGTAAAAGCATGAATAAGAGTTGTCATAAATGGACTCTATTGTAGGAAAAATATCTAGTCAGTGGTCTTGCTGAAAGATGACGTATCAGTGAAGGTATTGCTCCAAGGTGGCTTTAGTCCTTTCCACTCAACAGACTGTGTGTGTGTGTGATGGGTTATTAGGAGGAACCTCACCTTAGAGCAGATAATCAGGGAACACAAGGGGAATGAATATGGAATGGGTGAGAGTTAATTTTGCTTCTTTAGGAGTACCTGTAAATGGAAACGTGCTCAGGGCATACTTTTATTAACAGGATCAAACTTGTGGCCCAAGCCCTGCTTCCATGCACGCTGTGGCTTATAATTGCCCATGAAAGTACACGGTTTAACAGTTGAAACTTTGTACATCTTGAGGATGGTGACAGTAAAAACTAGTTTGACCTCTGCAGATTAGAGTTATCAGAGGCTCAGAGTACATCTAGAAAATAAAAGTGGTCATCTAATTTCTTCTAGCGATATTAGCCGTAATGCAAGTCTACATCATTTTGTTAATGACTTACCATGCAGAAACAAACTGGAATATAGGAAACTGCCTTATAAGGTGCTGGACCATTGGTTTCTCTTCTACTAATCATTGATTTCTTTCTGAAGAGATTTTTTTAGTTGCAGTCAACACTGAAGCATATCCAATTGTGGTATGAAGAAATAGATTGCACAACAATAATTGCTGCAGTGCTTTTAAAGAACTGTGACCCGTAACTGGAACACTTTGTTGGCATAACCTGCTGGACTATAAGACAGTGTCTTATACTGAATTATCTACATGATTGACAGCAACTCTCCAGGGAATCACATCAGAGAATGCCCCAGCCCTATCTGAAATTGACAGAGGTGGAACTCTAGGGTCCTTTCTTTTGCAAAGTGTGTACTTTTTCCACTAGGCTATAGTTCTTCCCAAATATGTTTCAAGTTCAATTTCTACTATGACCTTTGCAGTACATTATCAAATAATCATTAGGAGTGTGTCTGTATACACACACATTAATTTTAAGCTAGCATGTCTGTTTCTTTTAATAAATAATAAATTTACTTAATAAATTTATTTAATAAGTTATCTTAGCGGCAAATTCATCCATTTTAATTTTTAATATGGTAAATACCAATAAATATAACCCATACAAACAAAAGCTCTTTTGGGGTCCTCCATAATTTTTAAACATGGGAAGGGGTCCTATGAGAAAATGGTTTAAGAAACACCGCTTTAAGCTATCAAAACAAGGAGTTGAAATGGAGTATATCTGCAACTTAATCTATATCAGTTTACGAGCAAATTTAGTTAATACTGTAGCCATCTGAACACAAATAGGTTTAGTCTTGTCTGCCATAACACAACCACTGTATTGCTGCCATATAACAAAGTTATTTAAACTATCCTGAGATGAATACCTAGTACGTTCATCCAAAATTGCAAGAGTCCTAGAACAAAATACACTCTACAATTTCATTGTGTTTATCACTGACTTTTCTCCCTGTGAGGGAGGATAGGTCAAGACTCAGGTTTCTAAAAATATTATCCACCTGCCTTGATGTCTGCACTAATTAGGCAGTTGTGAGAGAACTGCATTGTCTGCTCAGTCTACAGGCTTCAATTTGGGTTCAGGTAAATGCTTTAGCTTGATAATACAGTAATAAACTCTACTTTGTAGGAATTCCCCATTACCCACAGAAATTAGGATAATCAGCGCATTCTTGATCTATGGGGGAAAAAAACCTTATATTGTTACAGCGTTCTGCAAAAGTGTATATGCCCTTTTTGCATGTTCTGAATTATTGCCTCTGAATGTTATCAGAGGTTCATGTTTTCTCATGATAGATATCAATTTTTTGATCCTGGTATTGCTCCCCACCTGCAAAATACTGGGTCAGCGTTGGTCATATTTATTGCAAACAGTACATACGAAAGCAGCAAATCAGATGATATGGCGACACATGATATTGTGATACATGGGCGAACCCTCCTTGATGCACTCATGTTTCCAGGATACCCTTTTCACAATCTAAAACTCACAAAAGTTTTTAACATTAGATTTGTATTACCTACTCATTTATTATTAAACAACTCTAAATAGCAAAATTATTGAAAGAGTGGTATAAGAACATTAATGGGATGACAGCTATTGCACAAACCTTTGTAACCTGTACATAGGGATATGAGACCCTGTAAGTCACCCAACATTGCTTGTTTTCTTTTTTTGGAAGTAATCTGAGGCAGTGGAAAATTTGGTTATGAAGTTATTTCTTCCTGTGCACCCCTAAAACATTCAAGAGACTTCCATCCAAGTTAAAGATCTTTGGAGCAAGCTAAAATGAACTCTCTAAACTTCAAACCATGAAATGGGTAAACCAATGCAATTTCTCATTGTTATAAATAAAGCATTATTTTCAAAATACGGTTTTTTTCTGTTTTTATTGCTGTTAATTCAAGGAAAAATGCTGCATAAAATCCAATCTGTTCTAGAAATATAAGTGACCTTTCCAGTACATAACATTTCAAATATCAAAGTATATGGTAAACATACAAATAAAGAGGAAGGTAACATACTTCCTATTTACAGTACAGTATCTTAAATCACAAAATAAGTTCCATAAAGTAAACTGGCAGATAATTGAGAATGCAAGTCTTCTGGTGCTTTACACCTTTATTGAACTCAGAAGCAGTTATTTTATTTAAATATGGTCCAACATACCCAGCGCAAATAATTTTTAACCAAAATAATTTCCTATACTAATTTCTTTTAAATTAAAGCTCTCTTCTATCCCTTTATCCCTTACTTTCAAAATATATTGGTGCTATAAATATAAATGCTATCTATGAATAAATGTAATAAATCAAGTTTCTTCAAGTTTGTTTAGCAATTAGAATGAATCAAAATGTTCTGACTGGTATCCATCTGCTGCATATCTAATTTAAAAAAGTAAAATCTACATTTTAATGAATTGTGATACATGGGGATACACATATGGTGGTAGTTCAGTGTTGATTTCAACAGTCAAAAGTTTTCTTCCAGATAAACTCAGTGCAATTTAGTACAAGTTGGCTTTGAGAAACAAAATACAGCAGCAATAAACTTAGCAATATGACACTAACATGATCAATTTTCACACTCATTGGAATTTTTCACATTATATTGTGATCACACAGTGGTAAATTGTCATAAGAAAGTGACATCGCTATTTGGTAGACTTTTTCTAGTATACAAATATTCAACAGATTTTTAGAATACACGCAGGTTTTTGTCCAAAATGCTATACCATTTACATTCTAAGCACAACACTGTAGTAACTTCAAGGGGGTAATGTTAAAAACTGTTTGTGTGTCTTTTACATTGACAAGGTTGAATGTTTAATAAAGGTACCTGCTGCCAATTTCCATTACAAATGCAGACATAAGCTAAGGCATTCATTTTAATTTTTTACTCTGAATCTAACGGGTTTTAAAAAGAACTGCAGACAGAACTGAAATTGTTCAATGTATTTCTATTTCAGAAATTTTAAAGTTCATATCATTTTAAATCCTCCTCATCCAATTTTAGCATTCAGGCACATAAGAACTGTATGTGTGTGTATACATAAATATATTGTGAATGGTCATCTCTCAAGAGCAAGCAATACCCCCATCAATTCACAAATGTAGGATTTACTAGAATTAACGAGCTGATTATCTACCCAGTCCCATGGACAGGTACACTCAGCAAAGAGTGGGAGAGAAGAATAGCAGCATTAAGACAAAAGAAGGGAAGGGAAACATGACGGGAGCATAACCCAGTTTCTCCTTTTAACCATATGGCTGTTCACCAGTGTAGTTGGAGATTAAATGACCTTTTAAAAAATGCAGTAAACATTGCATCTCTCAAGTCTTCAGTGCAAAAGTCAATTAATTCAAATGAATGACTGGCGGAGATAGCAACATGCTTTATGCAAGTCAGACCAGGAGCAAAATTGCTTTCTTCTTTTCTATTAGAACAGATGTTCACAAGCAATGAAAAAAATGCAACAGAACGTAAACACACACAAAGAATCTCTCAAATCCAAAGAATTTCCCAGATTTCTCAAACTTCATTTTGGTATGTAGGCAATGTTTACTTGGTTTCAGTCAGCAGAATCCAACGTATCATTAGAAGGGGGTGGGGGAGGTGCATATCTCAATCTGTAAGTGCCTAGAATAGGAAAAAGAACTTACTAAGTCACTGCTTACACTTCATAAAGTTATGAGAAAAACTACAAAAACCCAAGGTGAATACCCTCTTCCAAAAATGCTGTGCTCTTATCCCAAAGAAGCTTCCAAATGTATATAACCTATATAGAAATCAGTTTATTTTTAAAGGAAAATCTTTAAAAGTTTCTCCTGAACAAATAAACACACAATGGCTACATTCAGACATAACACCAAACCATGGTTTAGCTTTGAGTATAAACTTAGCATATAGTGTTCTCTGGCTTGCGTGCTTCTTTCCCATCCTATCATGTAGCTTCATAGAGGATTGAAACTCAGAGTTCTTAAAATGCTGCCTAATCTTTGTGTTATGGTTAAGATTAATTACAGGTAGTTCCCAATTTAGGAACAAGTTCCGTTCCTAAGATCTGTCCTTAAGTTGAATTTCTATGTAAGCCGGAACAGTATTATTGTATAATACTGTATAAGTAGTATTGTGTATTTAACTCGAATTTTGCTACAATACAGCAGGCTCCGTTCTTAATTATGGATCATCCATAAACCGGGCGTTCTTAACCCAGAGATTACCTGTATGTATCATGAGAGTCAGGCAGTTTCATCAGCTATTGTTTGAAAGATATGCATTCCCACAACTATAGGTGAACGTTAACTTGCATCTGTGTTCAGGTGATTCACCAAGTAAAAACTCCTGAACTACTTGAGGCCAACATTATGGTGGACATAATGTGGCCAGAGGGAAAGCTAGCTTGACCCACCATTACATCCAAACAAACTTATAATAACCTCAGAATCTTGGATAGATTTAACTGTGCAATGGGGACTATTCTAGCAACTATACTTTCCAAGTATGAGCTTACAAAATTGGTCTTTAGTGGTCAAGTATCAACAGATACAAAATAATAATAATAAAGATGAAATAAAAACGAAAATGGATATACTTTACAATTACAAATGTAAAGAATTAAGGTATAAAACTGGTAACATTTCTTGCTTTTAATGGTTTTATTCACACTTATGCATCTAAGATACTTTTTTTCTGAAAATATCTCTGATCAGTCACATTTGCAGGGAAGAAAAAACAAAATCTACCTATGCATTAATATAAAAATAGTGTTCTTTTTTTTAAAAAAATAAGCTTATAACATATAAAGAATGTGTGACTTACTTTTAAAAGCTAGGACATTTTTGCCTGACTGTTCTGAATGTACCTATGAAATTTTGGCAACATAAATCTAGCAACTAGGCAGATGCATTAAGTTTTAGTTTGCTTTCCATTATGGTTATCAGTGAATTGGTTAACTCTAATGGTGCTTAGCTCTCCATGAATTCCAATATATTATTGTTATGACAATGTAACTACTGAACCTATTTCAAATAATTACTTGGACCCAAGACATAAAAGTATGTAGTGATTTTATACTCCAGCCACCAGACTTTCTGTGCCTAGGGATTACACTGTTTATTTCCAGTGCTAAGGGCCGGGTGGTGGGACACAATTTGCCTGGTTTCCCCTTCTTGACAATTTTTCACTTTTTTGAGGGGTACAGTTGGGTATCTTAATGTCTTATGCCTATTCTAAGGCTTAAAACATCAAAACAACCCTTAAAACAGCAGAAAGTGGATCTATGTGTCAACCTTTTCTTTGAATTTTCAGCAATGTGGTTGGAGGCTGCAGGCTGCCCACCTCTGTAACAGTCAATTGTACATGCACACACAGACATACAAACCATAGATAGCAGAATGAGAATGACATGGTCAATAACCAAAACTATGTGGACTCAGAAGCAACTGTGTTGGGTGTTATGATTACCTTGTTGACTGGCCTCCATAGATGACTGCTTACAATCCTGTGCATAGTGCCCACTAACACCACAATTATAACAGGACACATTCCCATTCTTCTTGGGACCTGATCCATTAGAATTGGCAACTACATTTGAAGCTTGATACACAGGATAAAACCCCCGATATCCTGCCATTTGCTGCATACCATAGTTGATCTGGCTCCCCATTACTGGATCATGCATTGAATATGGGCCCCGAGAGAAGAAATAAGGAATTTGTGTTCCATTGGTCTGATGTCCTTGGCTGAGGTAGCTACCATTGCAAAATGGCAGATGGAAGAAAGGTGAAACTCTGTAGACTTGTCCTTGAAGTGGATTAGGATAAAAGTAACTGTTAATCTGAAGATTTCCATTGGTGCCACAGCTACACCGGCGACCACAAGAGCCACAAGGCCCAGATCCCAACTGCTGTGGGGACAAGAGTGTCCCATTTGCATTAGTATTCCCAACAGCACTAATATAGGATGTACTGTCACTCTGTGCAGTGCTGTGTGTTAAAGCAGGGCTTGGACTAGGTGCAGGACCTGGAGTGTGGGTAGGTATTGCAGGAGGGATAGTGGGCTGCACTTGACTAACACAAAGACCTGTTGTTGGAGATGGTGGTGTTGATGCCACAGTGTTCAGCACAGTTGTACTTTGATTAGGCAAAACGCTGGTAGCATGAAGAGTTACTGGTACAGTAAAAGGAGCTGGTGGAAGTGCTGTGGAGAGTCCAGCTGCAGGAACAACTACTTTTAGGTTAGGAGGCTGAGGGATCACTCCTGTGTTTCCATCAACATGAGGCACCATTTGATTTAAGCCCATCACATGTGACACAGGTTTTGAGACTGGATCTGTAGTAGGAACTGTAGATCCTGTAAAATTACCTGGGCTGTGGACTGGAATAAAGGCAGTATTTGGTGATCCAATATTTAAGCTTCCAGTTTGTTGTTGTGGTCCATTAACTGCACAATTTTCAGATGATGCCTGTGGTGAAGGTATTTTCATTCTGTGTATTGCTAATTGCAATGCAGGGCTACCAGGCTGGACTGTAGAAGGGAAAAATGTGGCTGGCAAAGGGGAAGACAGAAGTTCAATGTGTTTCTCAGATTCAACAGAAGATCCCATTCCAACAGGAGCTGAATTTGCAACTACCATTCCCAAAGTTTTTCCATCAGCAGATATAGGTGGTGGCACTACTGTTTCAGGCTTCTGTGCACTATTGAGCACAACACAGTGCAGGGCAGGCATAAATGAAATGTGTTGAAATTGTGAACTCAAAGGGTCCTCCACAGTGTTTTTATTGTTTGATGTCACTGAAATCTGTGTGGGTGCCTTATTGAGGTCCGTAGCACCATATTCAGTAAACCTCATCACATTTTGGTTCCCAGAATCTTCAGAATTGCTGTCTGTGTCTGTGAAAAAGGCATTAGACAGGATATTCAAGTTTCTAGACAACAATTTTCCCCAGGCAAAAACATTACTTTTAAAATTACAAAAACTATTCTATAGTAATTAAAACAAAAACATTAGAAGTTGTTAATAATAATAAAAAATAAAGTTGTGAAAACCTGCATTGATATATTAGAAGTTGTCATTTACACTGACCAATAAGCCTAGTATTTCAAATTACTATTTCTGTCTAAAGGAAAACAGTATGTTATAGAAAAGCAATTGTGTGAGAACAACTATATGAAAATTGTGTACTTGAAATAACATTTTTAAAAGAGGTTTGGAAGAGACACATTTTCAGTGCTGAGAAAAGTTTACTAACTGCATTCCAAAACACGCTATTCATCTTACTTGATTTCTCTTTTGGTAATGAGTTTAATATGAGGTAGTGTATAACAATCATGTGCAAACTATTTCAAGCTTAAATATTTTTGAATTCAAAATGCTCCCATTTTGAGTTCAAAACAGTTGTTTAAGGTGTGAATCAGGTGGTTTGCATTCACAATGGGCTGTTTCAATAAGTTTAGAAACATTTCAGGCTTGAAACTGTTTCTTTTCAAGTTCTTCTTCAAACTTAAAATGGAGCACTTCAATTCTGAAACATTTTCCATGCCCCTAGCTTACAGCTTAATATGATGTAGAAACCCACAAATTTTTGCTAATTTAAAATAACTATTTACAAAGATATGGCTTAGTTCATGTACAAATCCAGCTTTTGTGTAATAAGCATGGCCTTTGCAAATTTGAAAGTCATGAATAGACATATTTCATCTGTAATAATATTAAAAATAATTAGGCTATATCACACCAAAAGCCTGTCTGTTCTCATTACGGCAAAGCTCATGCTTCTCAGTAGAGCACAAGCAGGATTTGAGTACATCATCATTCCACTCACATTCCATAGTAGCTGATGCTGAAAGCCATTCTGATGCTGTTACTAGAAGGAATATTTACTCATCTTGATTAGTAGCCTTATCTACCTTTAATTTATTAACTTCCCAGTGGGAAAGCTACAAATTAGTTATGTATGGTTAAAACAAAAAACAAGCATGTTTTTGAATAATAATTTAGAAATGATTACATAATGCTGGAAAGATAAAGCATATCTAAGAAACCTAAAAGCCTACCTTTGACAAAGACTATGATCACTTCAAGTTTACCTCACCCCCCCCCTTTTTTCAACAACATTAAGAGAAGAAATGTGTTGGTTTAAGAAGCAGATGTAAAGGATGCAGCTATACAGAATGGCAACCTCTTGCTCTGTGGACAAAAAGTTTTGAAGCCACCCCGAACATGGTCACATGGATAAAGTCAGGATTAAATTAAATACGTCTTGTTGTTTTATCAAAACTATTATTGCTTTCCCAATGACAAGGGAGAGGGAAGGAGGGTTCATGTGTAAGTCTCATCCTTATGTATAGAATAATTCAGATTCTTGCATTCTCATCTATAATTTACTGTATATAACTGTATGCTGTAAACTTTTATCAATGAAATTGTTAAAGTCTATTCCTGGTGACTGTTACTTGGGGACACAAAACCAAATTAAAGAAGCAGCATACTAAAGTGATTCTATATGTTCTTATTTTTAAATACAAAAATACAACCTCTGTCTTTTTCTTCTTCACTTTCAAAACTTTCCCTTCCATCATGCCGTGGACTAGAAGGAGAACTGTAACTCTCTGAAGAGGTTTCTCCACATGTGTCATTTCCAATTGTAATGTCTAAATTTGAATCTAGAAAAGATGTCATAACAGCAAGATTACTGCTAAACACCACTAAGTAGTATGCAAATTAACTTGGGGTTTTCTGCATTTTTACTTGCTACCCAAGCACCAACTCTCTGCACGTTGCAGCGGATAAACAAAAATATAATCTAGTATCAAAGGATAAAAGCCATTAGACTGCACAAAATTACTGTAACAATATATAATATATGGGTGAGATTCTAAAACCTACTTTTTACTGAAGGAATCTAGATGTGCCAAGTAGATTTTTTTTTTAACTTCCTCACCCCAGACAGTCAAAACTCAACATACAAAAATGCTTTTGCAATTCCCGTAATTCAAAAGCACTCTTAAGTAACATAGATGGCTTTTATTCAGGAAAAAAAAAATTCTGATAATATGCAGTCTTTAATTCGGTCTTGCAGATAAATTCTGAACCCCACGGTACATTCTGTTCCTGGTAAGAGTTCAGATCACTGCTTTTTAACTCACAATTTGTATGTATCCACAGAGTCTGCAAATTCTAGAACTCTAGTCCAGGAGCAGACACTTTTTGCCCCCCCCCTTGAAAGGAAATGTTATCTGCACATGGCTTTTTTTTAAAGGAAAACAGCTTTATACTCAATTCCTTTCCAGTTACGACACAATCCTTTTCATCAAGTACATGAAATAGTTGCAGCAGGAAAGAACGACAAGTTGTGTGACTGTGCAGATGACCATGAGAAAAGCATATATTACAGGTAAGCAAACTTTTTCATGGACTATATGCCATCTTACATCTACTGGCTAGCCAAAAGGTTTTAAATGACAATTCTGCAAAATGCTACATTATTTCTTGCAAATACCTCAAATGTGTACTTTGAGAAGCATAGTCTGGCAGATTTTTTTTCAAGAAGCATTTCTGTCCTAACAGGTCATGGAAACAAACATTCCTTAGGTAGCACAATCCTCAATTTTAGGCAGATCTATGGCTGCCAACATTCAAGATAATTTGGGACCAGAAAGAAAGCACAAGAGAATAAGTCTTTCTTTAGGAGAAGCCTTGAGACTAATGAGCGGGAAATCAATCTTGTAAAAAACCATGTCAACTTTCTCTTTCACAAGAAAAGAAACTGGCAGAGGGAATTATATAGCAGTTCAAATAAGTATTCTCTGATTCTCAAGATTCTTGTATAGGATTGATACAGTTTACTGTTTTGGGTGCTGATCTTTATGAAGTTAGAATAATTTGGATCTCTACTTATTCCTTTGAAAACAGGTGGTTGGGCTAGAGACTGGAGGAAAAGCTAGATAGTGAACAGAGCTTGATGGTAATCATAATGGTAGTGGTTATCAAGGGCTTATTCCAGAACAAGGCTCTACACAGAGCAATAGTTATGTCAGTTTGTTTGTTTTTTCTTGGTCATATTCACTAAAGCACAGGTTATGATAATACAAAATTAGCACTCTATCTACCACCATCTTGACACTAATGGCACTTTTTGAACAACCTCTGTTCCCATTATGACACGGGTACACAGCCAGTTGAAATCACTGATAAAAAAATAGGGTTGTCTTCTTAACTACAATAGAGGAAAAGGAAAAGTCCTCCTAATGAATAAATAAGATAGAGTTGAAGAGTTCAATAGGAAAAGATCTCTTCTAAGTTCTCTGAGTTACTGTTCTCATAGTAGTCAGAAAGAAAATTGACACTTGTCTTGTCTTTCAAAGCCCATATAGATACCATAAGACCCCTGCTTGAATGAAGGATTGTGGGCAGCAGTTCCCTGATTACAGCTCTGCGTATATGCCAAGTAGACTCTATGAATGTGCAGAATCCATATGGAGAACTGCACAAAGATGACTTGTACTGTAATAGCATCTATGTGAACTGAACTACTAACAGCATTTCTAAACATACTGCTACCTCACCGTACTATTCTACAAAATAATACTATTGTGCTGCATATTTGCTAAGTATATTGCTCACTATATAAATAAAAGATTAAAATAATCTCTAATGTCCTTGAAGAGTGTTTTGTACCTTTTGCTGTTCCTGGGTGCAGGTGATGAGCATCTGCAACTCTTACACAGTTAGTTCTCATGGGTAATCTGGAGTCAATTCTCTTTATTTTATCTCTGTGCAGGGATAAAAACATTAATCAAGAGGATAGGTAAACTTCTCTTCATGGTACCGTGAATTCCAAACATCTACTATCAAATTGTAAACGTCTAAAACTGCACGATCCCTAGTTTGTGACTAGACATGTCCCTCCAACACTTTTTAACAATGGCAAATCTGCCCAGAGCCTTCAGAATATCACAAATATATGCCCCATCCATCCTAGCCCTCTCTCTTCTTGTTGATGCTGGATAGTTGCAATTCTATATCATAATACAAAAATCATACTGCTGTAATAAAAAATAGCTGGGTTCTGCACCATTTAAGCATTCCCTAGCACCTCGATGCCAAAATGTTTTCTTTTCAGGCAACCTAAACATTTACACAAACTTTCCTGCCTAAAAGTCTATGAATCTGGATAAAAATGGTGGTAATGGTATCATGAGTTATTCAAGCAGCATGAGATCCTGAGGAAATGAATGCCACAAACCTCCAGATCACATCACTGAAACTTGGTGTCCAAACAGAAAAAAGCCAGTATGTAATTTTTGTTGGCATGATTTTTCCAGTTTTCTTTTTAATGTTCTATTTGGTAGAACTAAGAGAAAAATCGGTGTGTATGCTACTTGGAGCTTTAAGGTATTACAAATCCCAAAAATCAGTGGACTGATTTTTCCAACAGTGTGAAAGGAAAACAGAAGGCTAAGCGCTACATTCTGCCCTTAGCCTTTCTCCAGTTGGGCCAAAATGTTTGGCTACTCCCATTCTAGGGACAACCAACCATGTCTCTTGTAACTATCACAGACCAAAAACAATGCAGTCACCAGCCACAGAAAGTTCCCTACCCAAGCCCAGAGTGATATGTGAATCCAGCTACTCGGCAATAATCGTTTGCTTTGTAAGTTACAGCTAAATCAAACTTAATGGCATAATGTGATATGTAAACTGGAGGGCTAGTCATGAATCATTGGTAATAATCAGTGTCTGAAAAGAGTTCAGTGATGGTTAATTCTCCTATGAAGCCAATCTTTTAAACCCCAAAACAAACTCAACAAAATTCTTCAGGCAATTCTCGTCAAACTGTAAAGCCATAAAATTCAAGTTGTTCATTATTAAGAAAAACAATGTAAGATCATTTAGTTATTCCTGAAATGGGACATCAATTTGTCCACTGGTAATATATTACAAAATACTAGCTCTGCAGTCAAACTTCTATTAACTAACTAGCAGCAGCAAGCTCCCTCTTGTCTTTATTCAGAAACGTATTATATCCTATTACTTACAACTTTAATTCTAAGTTACATTTATCAATTTTGTACATGCTGTTCTTAATATTATATACTATATGCATTAATCTGTCTAATATTGCTGATGATCAAGATTATCAACCACACTTGTCTGAATTATAAAGATTCCATTTTTCAGTAATAGATAGCAATATAATTGATTCTACATAAAATGGGCATATTTGGGGGAAACATTTAAACAATACTCAGTTTCTTTTAAAAATGAAATTAACACCTACTTTTCAGGTTGCTGCTTTCCTTTCTTTTTGTTTATTACAGGCAAGTTCCTTTTCTCCCCTGTATGCTAGATGATAAAAAACAAGATCAGAAGTTTTCTGTCAGTGTACAGTTTCCCTTAAAAATGTAATGATATTGGTTGTATTTCTTGCCCTAATGCATAATAGTTGCCAATTGGCAATCACTTTAGAGGCAGCTATAAGCCTTCCAAGAATTTAATACTGTTATTTTGATATATATGCACAACAAACCTAACTCTCTACTTTATATTATATAAATGAAAAAGATTTCATCCTGTTCTATCAGCATTAGGTGGTTTAGATACAACATGAAGCAATGAGCTCTTTAAGCACATAATATCTTGTCTCCTCTGTGTAGTCTTTGAAATTCACCCTTCTATTTTTCAGTAACCAAAGTTGGGTGTCATTTTTCATGGCTGAGGTTTGTAATATGTTTGTTTATGTCTTATATACCATATGAGATAAGCAGTTCAGCCATAGTGTGTGCGTGTAAGAAGAATGGAAGAATGACTATGTTTATTTGTTTAATATATCTAACCCAGGTACAATTTTGAAATCATGAATTCAATAATTCCATCAGAAATATAAATATGGCAACATCTGAGAGTAAATACAGTTATGAACATTTCAACAGTAATCAGTACTCTCACGAAAATAGCAATTCCCATCATATGCTTCTATGTGAATTATCACAAGGCCATATGCTTAATACTGCCCCAGCTGTCCCAAGACATTTATTTATATTAATTGGGCATATATTATCAGAGCAAGATGGTTGTTTACAATTCAACTCCACTGGATATTCATGAATTCAACTTCCATATATAGTAAACCTGCAAGAGAAAGCTACAAAAATGCTTTCTTGCTTGAAGCTTATTGCTTCAAATAATTACCACTCAATCGGCAGATTGTAGGAATCATTCAGCTTAGAACACTGGAGGATGGGCATACCAATCTAATTTCATACAGAAAGCAGCAGCACCCAATCCACAAACCACACATGAGAGTTAGATATGCTGGCTTTTCGGGGGGCATACTTATTCCTCACCCAGTGTCAGATAAGGATTAGCACTGCCCAAGTTTAAAAAAAAAAAAAAACAGAAAAAGATCCACATATTAATTTAGATGTGTTAACTTGTTCCTTTCTAGCAAAAAAGGAAAGACTGAAATACCCCTACTTTCATTCCAACTAGCCTACTTTTATTTTCTTCCCCTTATGAAATGACCTGCAAACATCTTCTACTTTTTATAACTTACAGATATAAAATTTTGTGGGAAATTACCTGCATTAATTTCCCACCTTAAAGAAGAAATGACAAATTTCTGCTGCAAAAAGCTAATGTTTAAAATGAAACCAATCAATTCAATGAGTCTCAGAAATCATTATGTCTCTATATGAAGTTTTGCTGTCATGTTCTTGCATAGGTTTCCTGGGATATAAAAAACAGAATACCTGATCAAGTATTGTACAATGCTCTGGGTGCTGCTGAAGAGCCCAGCTTTTTCTTCTCCAGTCTGCCACACCATTATACTCAGAATGTGTTATGTCAAAACCATCCAGTGAAGAACATCTTGTATTAATAGTGCTGTTATAAAAAAAAATAACAAGAGATTGTAACTGAACACATTGCTGACCTTTCAATCACCCAAACCAGTGGTAATTTGGGCATACCCTGAGGTGATAGAGTTATTTGGAATTTTTTGTGAGTCAAGGATAGAGCATGGGACTACTGCTGCCAAGACTCTTGTTTTTTGAGTTTTTGTGGGGGTAATGACATTATTTGAGACTGAGAAAAATTGGGTCAAACAGTTTAAGAACTACTGACCTAAAGTACATTTTCATTTTCCTCTAGAAAAGAGACTGCTGCTTATCTTTAACTATAGTTCTTTGGGTGATTAACTGCACACACACAAGTTTGGACTGTGCAAATCATTATTTCAGAATGATCTTGAACTGAGATTTATTTATTTATTAAATTTATACCCTGCCCATCTCCCCCAGAGGGTGACTCTGGGCAACCCACAATTAAAATCTAAAACAGTAAAAACAATAAAAATATAAATATCCATATTAAAATTAACCAAAAACAATTCTATATAAAAAGACTATATACAATTCAAGATGATGGGGGGGGAGCAGTATTGATTATCCCACCAGCCAATTCCAACAATGCAAGCCCCCGTTAGGCCCCCAGGCCATCTGGATTTATGATGGTAGGCCTATCCTTATCTCATTCTTGTGAATAGTTGCTTCACTGCATTCCTACTAACCTATACAGATAGCCCTGAAGTATCAGCACAGGAAACACCATTCAAAAGAAAACACCTATATCAAGGAAAGGGGGATATTCTATATATGCGGATGCCCATTTGAAGAAACACAACTACAGCAGTTGTCCTATCTCATCTGTGATGCAGAGACTATAAACAGCAGTTCAACCTTTTTGGAAAGATGGCTTTTCGAAACTACCTTCAAGAGACAAATTAGGCCTCAATGTACTTTGTCTTGATTCTAATTTATGTTTTTAACTTTACATCTTTTGAAATTTTGATAGCTGCCTTGATTATCAGAATAGAATGGTGTAGTATAAATCAAATGTTTAATACAAGGTTACCAGAGTTTTCCTGCTTGCCTACAATATGAAAAGTTTGGTTCCATATGCACTAGTATTATAGTGCATGTGCTGGGTGAGAAAAAGTTCCTGTGCTGACTGTTGTTGATATCAAATATAGCTGCCATAGCCAATTGCCTGAATTATTGGCCTTATATGCTTCACACAGTTCCAGAGCATTATTGGATATTTTATTTAATTATTTATATAATTTATGTATACCAAACAAATGTACTAAAAGCAGGAGAACCTGACAAAGTATTGGTTTCTTGTTTGAAACTAAAGCAGAGTAACATAATACTTCCAATAAGAGATTCTCTGGGTATAATTCATAGCAATTACAATGAAATTAATTGTCAATCTAAGTTTATATTCTGCAAATGCAAAGTACTCAGTTGAAAAGGATTAGGGTTAGGTTTTGTTTTTTTTAAAACAAAATAAATCTTTCAGAAATACCAGATATACGTTCAAGAAATTTAGCTGCATCTGTAACACTGCAGACAATTTTTGATATTAATTATGAAATCCAGAAAGGTTTCTGGGCTAGACAGAATAACCAGAGAGTGGTATAAAAATTTACATTTCTATGGAATAAATACCTAGGATCAAAATTATAACTCTGATATGAAATGATGGATTTAATTTCCTTGATTTTAAAGCATACTACTGGGAATATTTCTTAGCTTCAATAACTTATTGTACTGAAAACAAACTAAGTATGTTCTGTTGTGGGCTCAAATGGACTATTATTTGGCAACTATCAGGACTACATTATGAACTGAACTTCAAAACAGGACTCTCCAATTATAACTAACTTTTTAATCTGTATACCCTCAAGAAAATTTCAATATCAGATCATTTATATAATAACAATTCCCATTTTAAGAACTCACAAACGTATCCTGGTTAAGCAGGTTGTGAAAGTAACTTTAAATTCCTCTTATGAATCAAGTACCAAACATTAGTTTAAATGAAAAGGAAACATGCTGCATATATTTAACACATACCTGGCAACAGGACATTTCCCATTAAGTTTCTTATGAATCACTGGGTGCTGTATCATGTCTAGATAGAAAATAAAGTGTTATGATATTAGTTAAATATTGCATTATACTGGTTTCATTATACAGTACAAGAAAAATCCCTTCATATAAAATATTACAGAATTATGTTTTTAGTATTTTGTCATGACTGGAATACCCCAAGAAGTACTATAAAGTAATGCATTTAGCAACTTAGTAACCTACCCAATTGCTAACTAGCACTCTTTATAATTACCTATATTTATTCGGGCAACTGTAACTTTCTTGCTCACAGAATTGCAATATGGCTGAAATGAAGTAATAGATCTATCCAAGTCAGATGGCACAGTATAATCAACATTCAGTTCAAAAACTATGAATTATATAATCCTTTGGTTTTTTTTACTAATTATTTTCAGACCTGAGGATCTTCTGTTTAAAACATACATACAAGTAATCCTCAACTTACAATCATTCATTCAGTGACCACTTGAGGTTATGATGGTGCTGAAAAAATGGACTTATGACTGGTCCCTGAAGTTACAGCCGTTGCAGCACCCCTGCAGTCAAGTGATCAAAATCTGGGCACTTGGCAGCCTGCCCACACTTGCAACTGCAGGGGCACTTCAACTTCCCCACCCGCCTATCTTCCCCCATCTCTGCCCTTTTGGCTGCCCTGCACTCTGATGCCTACCTCTGCTGTTCCCTGCTGCCCACAGCTGACCCTAACTGTCTTCTTCCTCCTGCTGCTGGCCTGGGTTCCAGGCACTGGGCGAGGGTGCAGGCCTGTGATGCACACAGTGAGTGTGGCAGGTCGGTGGAGCCTTGTCAGCCAAAGGGAGGTTGCCAGGCCTGGCTGAGAAGGAGACAGTGGGATGGCAAGGCATAGAGCTCTCCGTTGCCGGGAGAGGCAAGAGAGCTGGTGGCGGCTCCTTGGGCCAAGCTTGAGACTGTGTGGAAGGTGCTGTTTGGGGTGGCGGCAGAACGGGAGGAAGCAGAGTGATGTGGGCTTCCCAGAGGTGCAGCCTGTGTTGCAAGAGCTCCTGGAAAACCAGCCTGCGGGGACGCCCATTCAGAAAGACGCTCAGGCACTGCCACATGTGCTGCAAGCACTGGGATACCTATGCAGCCAGGCTCCTCTTGCATGGCGTCTGGGGGGGCCAGTGCTCCTTCAGGACCCTGGTGGTGGCTGGTGGGTCCCTGAGCCATAAGCATGGCCAGCCAAGGCAGCATGTGACCTGCCTCAATCAAGGCTTAAAAGCCTATGCCCATGCCCTGCCCTCCTTCATGGTTGCTAGCGCTGCCTCTGCCATGCACACCAGGGGATTCCTTCGTTTTTACAAGGCTACCCGCTCCATGACCACCTCGGCCAATGGAAAGGTGAGTCACATGCTGGAGGGGAGGGCTCAGCCAATCGGAAAAAGACCTTAAAAGTATCTATACCTGTACCAAGGAAAGTTGGAAGCTACTCTTTCTTATGCCCCCCTTCCCCCTTTTTTTCCTTCCTTTTTCTTGATTTTTCTGTATTTTAACTTTTTTTTAAAAACATAATAAAATTTATAATTGATAAGGAAAAAGACCTTAGAAGTTTAATGGCCAGCTGGCCAAATCTAATGCACCAGGGGATGAAACAGGCAGTGAAACAGGAAGCATGGCTTTCCAGAGGTGCTTTTGGCACACACTCTGCAGTTCACGTTGGAAGCTGCTGGCCATTCGTGAGGCTTTGCGGGACATGCTTCCGGGTGCGAGGCTTTTCAGGAATGCTTGCAACATGAGCTGCGGTGTCCCCCCGTGCCCTTGGAAGCCCATGTCCCTCCACTTCCTCCAGTTCTGCCACCACCCCAAACCACCTCCCACAAGGTCTCCACCTTCACCCAGGGAGCTGCCACCAGCTCTCCTAACTCACCTGGCAATGGAGAGCGCCATGCCTCGCCATCCCACTGCCTCCTTCCTGGCTGGGCCTGGCAAGCTCCCTTTAGCAGACAAGGCTCCATTGCCCTGCCATGCTCACCACACACATTCCAGGGCTGCACCCTCGCCCAGCACCTGGGTCCTGGGCCAGCAGCAGGAGGAAGATGGCGAAGGTCAGCTGCGGGCAGCAAGGGGTGGCAGGGGTAGACAGCAGAGTGAAGGGCAGCCAAAAGGGCAGAGATGGGGGGGAGATAGGTGGGTTGGGGGAGTTGAAGCGAAGGTGAGTATAAGGCAGAAGTGTGAGGTCCTCAACTAATGACAGTGCTATCCTGGCCTAATGACAGCAACTAGGAGTACTGGAACTGTCGCTAAGCAGTGTGATCACGTTTCACCTAATGACTGCATCACTTAGCAATGGAAATTCCAGTGCCAATTGTGGTTGTTAAGTCGAGGACTACCTGTAAATATTCATCACACTATTCCCTTGTGGTGTAAGCAACACTATGACAAGCACAGAAAAAAAGTAAGAAGTAGCAAGCAACAGGAATTGGAAGCAGGTGATAAAAGATATGAAAAAAGAAAAAGAAATCTAACAGAGACTAACTTACACCAGTGTCATTTACTATACCTCTCCAAAGCAAAAATACATTACTAAAAGACCTCAAGATATATCTCAAAAAGAAATTCTCATTCATTCATCTTGGAACAAATGCTGACCTTCTTCCTGGCTTGAAGCTTCTGAACTATCCTCCTTGAAGTGTTCTGGCATCTTAGATGTCTTCAGGGAAGACTGGAAGTTATCTGAAAGGTAACAGCCATTGAACAATAAAATGTAATTATTTTAAAATTTTAAGTAGAACAACAAACTGGACTTACAAAAACCCGCAGAACATCAGAAGTTAGGGCAAGTGAATTCCAGCAGCTCTTGTTAGCAGTAATCAATGCCTGCTATTAGCAGTATTCAATGCAATGCTCACAGAAAAACCCTATTTATCATACTTCTAAACAGCATCCACAGACTCCCCAAATGAAATATATATACTAAAATGCTACAATGAAAAAACAGTGTATATCAGCAACAATAATTGTGGAATTGTTCCTTATAAAAAGAAAGAAAAAGTCTTTGTCAATCTCCTGTCAACTTCATAGGCATGTCTACCTAGTCTTCTCGTCTACAAAAGTGGTTTGGCAGCACCGTCTTCTGGATTTTTTCCAACTTTCTAGTCAACCTTACAGAACTGTTATTTCTCCCTAGTATCCCACTTAAGTACTAACAGGGCTGACCCTGCTTAGCGTTTTGAGATCAGACAATATCAGTTAAGTGCTGCTACAGAGTGGAGCCTTCCTAATAAATTAGCATCTAAAGCTAATAAGAAGTTGAGATATTATTATATAAGTATTACGTTAGTGTTCATTTCATATATCCTAATTTACTAATTCACTTCGCTTTCATTCAAGCTGATATACACACATTTTGGATACCATGATTAGTTGGTACCATACTTAGTTTGTAGCTTAAATTGACAGTGGATCCAGTTTAGGAAAAATAATTCACACCATCCAGTAAATTACCTAAACTACTTCTGCATCTTGTCTATATGCAGTTTTCTTCAATTACAATAGTATAAAGTTTAGGGTTGTATTTCATGGCTGTGGAAATGGGAGATAGTTTGTGCAACCAGTCATTCTCTTCCACTCCTCTTCACTGCAGATCTCTGTATCATTTCAGGCAACACAATTCCCTTCTGTTATAATCCAACATATATCTTTATTTCCTATGATATGTATAATCCAAATGCTGCACCTGACAGAAGTGTGATGCTAGGAGGATGCTTTGAAGTTCAGAGGGTAGCAGAAGGTGAAAATTATTAGTTGCATGAGCTAATTTCAACACATACAACTAAAAGTTGCCACCCATAACAGTAACTATCTTGAAACTAATATACTAAGAACACCTGATAAAAATGATCTGATCAACAACTTGATGTAACATTCAGTCCCTATAATCTTAACTGACACATGGATCAGGTATGCTGAGACACAGGAAACTTCTGTACAAGTTCTTAACAGAATAAAAAAATTGAGTTTCTTACTATGAGCATGTAAATCTTCTGAAGACAGAGTCTGAAAGAAGTTGTTTACTCTCTGATTCTGGAGGAAAGCTGGGGAAGTATTTGCAAAAAGTTGCCTAAAACATATATAGAAAAATTAATTGTATCAAGGAACACATTTAAGACTAAAATTTAACTTAGAGAACTGACACTATTCATTAAATTTCTATCACAAATAAACGAATACACAGAGAATAAAAGAAAGGAGATCTTATTCTGGGCAAAGACATGGAGGAAGGCAAACTCTGCTTCTGTAAACCAACTCTTCATCTGAATATGCACAGTAACAAGTATCTGGTGTGCGCGTGTGTCTTTAAAAAGATGAACACATATGTGCAACATACCCATTCAAGATGTTACTGGCCCTTATGTGATGGGAGGAAAAAAGCAAGCTCACTCACTAGGCATACTTGTCCTCTTTCTGGCCGTTGGGATAAATGGTTTCACATTCTTGAAATGGTGTCACTTCAGCACTTACTATTGAACAGCTTTTAATGTTTTTATGGTAAGCTGACTTGGCAAGCTTACTCTAAAAGATACATTGGTGCTTAAAAGTTTGTGAACCTTTTTGAATTTTCAATGTTCCTGCATAACTAAAACATGGTCTATTGTCCACATAAGTCCTACAACTAGATAAAAAGAACCCAATTAAACAAACTAGTCAAAATATACTTGGTTCATTTATTTATTGAGGAAAATGACCCAAAGCTACATATTTGTGTATGGCAAAAGTATGTGAACCTTTGCTTTCAGTAACAAGTGTGCACCCCCCCACCGGCCAGCAATAACTGCAACTATATGTTTCTGATAACTGTTGATCAGGCCTTGAAGGCTGATCGACTTGAAGGAATTTTAGCCCATTCCTCCTTACAGAACAGCTTCAGCTAAGGGATGCTGGTGGGCTTCCTTGCATGAACTGCCCACTTCAGGTCCTTCCACATTTCTATAGGATTAAGATCAGGACTTTGAGTTGCCCATTCCAAAACATTAACTTCTACTAAAACCATTATTTGGTTGTACAAGTTGTGTGTTCTGGGCTGTAGTCTTGCTGTATGACCCATTTTCTCTTGAGCTTCAGTTTACAGATACCCTGACATTATCCTGTAGAATTTGCTGGTACAATTCAGAATTCATACTTCCATCAATGATGGCAAGCCATCATAGTCCAGAGGCAGCAAAGTATCAGTAACCATGATACTGCTACTAGCATGTTTCATAGATGGGGCAAGATTCTCATGCTGGAATGCGGTGTTTGCCTTTTGCCAAACACAGCACTTTTCATTCAAGACAAAAAGTTCTATTTTGGTCTCATCTACTACAGAACATTCTTCCAATAGCCTTCTGGCGTATCCATGTGGTTTTTCACAAACTAAATGGGCAGCAATGTTCTTTTTGGAGAATAGTGGCTTTCTCCTTGCAACCTTGCCATGTAAACCATTGTTGTTCAGTGTTTACCTGATGGCATTCTCATGAACACTGACATTTGCCAATGCAAGAGAGGCCTTTAGTTCCTTAGACATTACCCTGGGGTTCTTTGAAACCTCCCAGAGGATTACAACCCTTGCTCTTTGTGTGATCTTGGTTGGGGAGGGTAACAATGGTGTTGAACTGCCTCCATCTGTACATGATCTGCCTGACAGTGGACTGGTGGAGTCCAAACGCTTTGGAAATAGTTCTGTAATCTTTTCCAGTTTAGTGAGTAGCAACAACTGTTTCTTGGAGGTCCTCACAAATCTGCTTTGTTCAAGCCATGACACACTTCCTCATACCTGTGTCGTGAAGATCAGACTTTGATAGTGAATACCCAGAATTCTGTTATTTAAATAAGGCAGGATCTCCCCTCCCCCCACGCACCCCTGATTATCATTCCATTGATTGAAACACCTGACCCTAATTTCCCCTTCAAATGAATTGATAATCCTAGAGGTTCACATCCTTTTGCCACACACAAATATGTAGCTTTGGATCATTTTCCTCAAATAAACAAACAAGTATAATGTTTTTTTACTCATTTATTTAATTGGGTTTTCTTTATCTAGTTTTAGGACTTGTGTGGGGAACAGATCAGATTTTAGGCCATATTTATGCAGAAATATTGAACATTCAAAAGGGTTCACAAACTTTTAAGCATCACTATATAATAAAATATTACAGAAACCATGTGAACAAAACCTAACATAGTATGATCCAAAAGACATAGTAGCTACTCAGATGTTAAATGACTCGAGCCATTTAGGCCCATAGTTTTTCTATAATGCCTATGCCTACATATGTATAATCTGGATGTTGCACCCAACATACCTATGATGCTAGCAGCATACTGCACACACAGGGACAAGAATGATCCTACACATAAGCATATTATTTTGAAGACATAGCCTCACACAATTGGGAATTTTGTAGATTTTTGTGCAGAAAGTGTTATAAGATGCTTAGGTCCTTAGTTGCAGAGTAGGGAGAAGGATTATAGCTTAACGGTACAAAATATGCTCAACATTAAAAAATTCCTATGTTCAATACACATGGCAATATCAGGAGTAGATACCCTGACACCCGCTGTATTTTAAGTAATAGTTACCATAATCCCTGGTCATTAGTCACATTGGTTGGAGCTGACAGAATTGAGAAAAATGTAGATTGCCTTTCCCTGAGGTAAATGAACTAAATCTGACACTATATAAGACAGCTGATTTCTCAGATCTCTAACTGAACAACATACATAATATAGGAAGTGATAAATTCAAGACAAATTGTGCCTTACAGTAAAGATAACTATATTCGTTGCTCAAAAGTTTTACCTTATCATAGGCTCAAAGTCTGAATGTCTCCTTTCTTCTTGTTTCTGTAATCCCTGATTTAATGCTGCTAAAATAGTCTTGTCAAATGCTTCAGAAGAAAGATCCTTTGGAAGCTGGTGAAAGGCACAGTATTAATTATTGGTAGAAAAAAGTAACATGTATCTTAAGTAAATGAGTAGATGAACCAGCAGTTTTAATTGTAAATTTAATTGGCACAATGAGAACTCCCTTCTTCATTCTAGAAATACACAGATCAACAATGATTTGAATGATTTTCATTTAAACTAACCAGTATATGCTAGTAACACAGCATGACTCCTTTCAGGTGAAGAAGCCATCACAATATGCAGAGTTTCCAGTAGTACAGTCAACTGAATTTTATTCTGTATAGTAGGATATGGAATCTTTATTCAGTGAAAGATGAAACCCACCCAGCCAGCATTCTTTAAAAAGAGGAGATGCAGTTAAAAGTCATGATGAGAATAAGCAAACAGAAGGAAAAACAGAAACAGGAAGTTTAGCAAGGCAAAGCACATTGACATTTGATATCCAAATATTTATTTGGATGAATTTAATGATTATGTTAAGAAGCCAGGGTCTAAACTCTTTTAAAAATGTAATACAGGGTCTGTCTAAAGAAAAAGAAAACTAAGTTACTAACAATAACTAGTATGAAGGTAAAAAGCCAGCAGGGGAAAGGGTGGTTCCTGGTCTTTTTTATTTATATACATATACATATACACATCTCATGTCAAATTTATGACTATCTGCCTTTGGGGCATAAGTCATGGCTTTATCCATCATGCAATGAGCTCCTGACTCTCATAAAACAAGTCCATTCCTGTTTACAACTCTTATGACTGAAAATATTTATAAGTGCCACAGAGATTGTAAATAACACCTTCAAGATGGTAGCTTTGACTTACTCTCAAGATGACAGCCTCCTTTCTACCAAGAAAAGCAAGAATCTTGGGGAGAAGGATGTCATTTGAGGATAAGAGAGATATTTCTATAGGAGGAATCCAATTTTTGGATTATAAACCTACATCTTGTACCAAGGAAACTTCTTTAGAAAGGTGGAGAGGTTTTGGTTGAAGATAATTCAGTCATTAGAAAAATAGATAAATAGATTTGTGACCTCACTTGCTAACTTACCAGACTGATGCAAATATAGTGAATGTCATGCACTGTCTAGATAAGTTGCTAGATAGTAAGCAGAAGACCTGCTCCCTTTTCCCACCACTGACATTGAAAAATATAGTCAGTCACTTCTGGAAGCCAAATCCAGGCTGCTAGGTAGCAGACTGAATTCCAGGACTGCTAAATAGCGTTCTCAGAAATGCTACTTATTCCACGTGCAGGGCCAGCTAGGCAGGCAAAGCTCTTGGATCTGCATGGGTGATGTGCTAGAGCCAGCAATATGGATTTAGATTTGTTAAGACAGCAGAACATTCTAGGACAAGCTGAACCTAATACCAAAAATATTTGAAGACAATATAGATGTTTCTATGTCAATGCTGTAAATCTCTGAGCCAAGATGATTCTAAGTAACTGATTGTAAGCAAGAACATAGTTATAATGGGTATAACAGAAATTAGGTAGAACAGAGTAGAGTCATTCCTGGATCCAACCTAACAGAAAATACATGGAAAGACACAGATGGAGGTGTTGCTCTTTATATCATGAATCTAACATACAAGAAAATATTGGGAAGCTGGATACCTTCACAGAATCACCATGGTGGCATATATTTGCTCACATGGTAAATTAAATCTAGGGATATATTATTGCCCACCTAATCAAAATGCCAAGGATGTTCCTAACATGGTGTAAGAAAATGAGAAGGAATGCAAAGGAGAAGTTGTAGTAATAGAGAACTTCAATTATTTTTACAAAGAGTTGGTACATTCATCCTCAGACCATGACAAAGAAAGCATATCTTCAGATACCCTAAATGACTGTTCCTTAGAATGGTTGGTCTTAAAATTAAACCAGATTTAATCCCAAGACTGTGACCATGATCTGGTGCAAGATGCAAGTGTTGAGGAACCAACAGGAAACAATAACCTTAATGCTAAGGCATTTAGCATCCATGCAAGTAGGAAAACTGCAGCACAGTGCAACACAGTTGCAATTTGCTACAAAAGGGTAAATGTTTTTAAAAAAGGGACTGGTGAAAGAAAAAGGCTGAAAGGAAAAGTCAAAGGGGCCAAATCTCTTTGTAATACTTGAAGATTATATCAAAATACAGTAACTGAAGCTCCAGCAAGAGGCCAAAGTGACTTTCTAGTAGTGTCCAGGAAACTCTAACTGTTAAGAAGGCTTAATATGAAGAAATGGAAAGCCTGTCCCAGTGAAAAAAGAAAAAGGAACAAAACATAAATTCTGTCAGAAGAAGTGTAAAATGACAACAGGGTACACATACACATGCACCCACAAAGAATCTGAGGACCATACAACAAAAAATATTAAGGGAATCAGTAAGAACTTTGAAAAATATATTTGAAACAGAAAACCAGCAAAGGAAGTGGCTGTGCCATTAGATGAGAGAGTAAACGGAATGCTCAAAGACAGTACAAAGACCGCAGAGAAACTGAATGAATTATCTGTAGAGTCCTTGGAGTTCTCTGAGCTTGGTTGTTTTCTTCCAGACGTTTCATTACCCAACTAGGTAACACTTTCAGTGCTAGAAGGGAGTGGGGTTTGTTCTCTGTTTATATACAGCAGCTTGCCCTGTCAGTGTTGGAGGGGGTGTGTTTTTTTTCTTGGTAGTTCCTTGATTAGGGTATTGTTTACTGCTTGACTGTTTGTCTGGTGTTAATCCCTGCTTATCTGGGTGCTGATTGCTGGTGAGGAGGTATTCTGGTCTTTTTGTTTCCTTTTTATCGTCTCTTTTGAATGGTGTGTAAATTTTGTTTATCTCTATGTGCCTGTTGATGGCTGACTTGTCTGTATACCAAGTTTCTGGGAATTCCCTCCTGTTTTTGGATTTAGTTTGGTCTAGGGTGCTGACAGGTTCCCAGTTGAAACTATGGTTAAGTCTGTCCATGTGTTGTGAGATTAAGGAGTTTTCATCGTGTCTTCTGACTGCTAGTTGGTGTTCCTGGATGCCTTCTGCTAGTCTTCTGCCTGTCTGTCCTACATAGTGGCTGTTACAGTCCTTACAACTGTATGTTGTAGATGACTCCTGGGTTTTTTTTCCCCTTTGGGCTACTGGGTCTTTTGTTTTACTTAAGATGTTTTGGAAAGCTTTAGTTGGTTTGTGTGCTATGGTGATGCCATGTGATTGTATTAGTCTGTTGGTTTTTTCTGAGATGTTTCTGAGGTATGGCAGTGGTATCCTTCTCATAGCTTCTATTATTCTTTTCTATTACACACACACACTACATATATTACATATAACATATACATATTACATATATTTTCTATTGAATTATTTGCATCCATCTTTACTACAAAAAATATTGGACAGATCCCTAAGCCTATACTGAGAGGGTTAGGGATTTCAGGAGAGGGGAGACTGGAAGAACAAAAGCAAACTAAGGTAACATAGTTACCTGAATTCTAAGTCATCTTGAGAGAATACAAATAACAAACCCGCACATCCAGAGTCCATCCAAGAATTCTTAAATAATTCAAAAGTGCTGACTTCCTAGTAAAAATAAGTATCTTGGCCCTCAAACTGGGCTCAAGTGACAAAAGGACTGGAATGCAGCCAATGTGACACCAAAGAAGATCTGGGGAAATTAGAGGGCAGTCATCTTAACATCTGTTCCAGGGAGATTAGTACATGTGGTAATCCAATTAAAAAACACACACATAGAACAAGAGTTAAGTTAAATCAACATGGATTCTGACCAAGTAAATCCTGCCTCACTAGCCTTATACTGAAGAATTCTTTAAGAGTGCCAAGAGGCAAGTGGCTGGAAGTATTAATATATACTTGATTTTTTAAAAAACATATTTGACAACGTTGTTCTTCAAAGATGCTCAAGTAAATTAGCAGCCATGGAATAAGAGGACCTGTCCAATTACAGATTGTTAACTTTTTAGAAAAACAAAAAGAAGTTAAATGGTCAATTTTATTAATGGAGGGAGGTAAGAAGTAGAGTCTCAATAGTGCACATTTAACTCATTTGCCAATTGGCCCAACATGCCACTGACAGGTTATTAAAAAAAAAAAACCTCTTCAAAATCAGCACAAACACCAACCCTCATGAAATTATAGAGTTGTGTGCATAACTTGCTCAAGTGGAATCAAAATATTAGATTTGGTACTTGCACAAGGGTGAAGAAAAGGATTTCTGCAAATAGAATAATATTTGTACTGTTTGAATAATATCACTAGAAACAATTTATTGCTTCCTAAGCAATCATAACAACATGGTTAGTATTTCATAAGAAATAGTAATACCTGTGTATATTCATCTAGAAACTGAATACATGAATAATTCTTGACAGATTAGCAGATTTTCAGGTCAACTTTACATATCAAAAGTGCAATCTACCATTGTAATTTGAAGTAAAACATCATGCTATGTAGCTTTATTACACAGTCTTTTGAATACTTACTTTTAAGAGAAATTCTTGTAGTTCCTGGTGTGTTTTTGTTACACAGGATACAGAATGGTCAGACCAGATTACCTGAATAAGAAAGAAAAAAAAATTAGAGTTCAGTTTCTACAAAACTAATATATTTCATACTCAAACACTAAGTAACTAAGACAGATTTTAGAAAGAAAAAGCAAGAGAAATTAAGAAACCCCTTCTGATTCCGGTCAGTAGCTCGTTTAGTCCAGCAGTCTATTACACAAAATGACCAACCAGGTACATTGAGGAAGCTCATAAACAGGGACAGGAGTGCAACACCCTTTCTCTGCTGCTGATCTCAAGCAGCTATGCTAATTTCAGAGATTATTGTTAACCTTAGGCCATGTTTGCAGAGGCAGTGAACTACATTTAAAACCCCCATGAGTTTATCTATTCTCCTTTTAGAATTATTTCTACTAGTGATCATCACTGTATCTTATGATAAAAAATTCCACAGCTTATCCATTCATTATTTACTGGTCCTAAATCTCCCCACATTTAATTTTAATGGGTAAACTTAAGACATAATATATAAATGGAACAATGGGAAAATATGTGGATGAAAGGGTTAGAATTTACACTGTGTTATAATTTGAAGGAGAATTTTTATAAAATGATGTATAGATGGTATTTGTCTCCAGAAAGATTATCAAAAATGTACAAAGGGGTTTCCCACATATGTTGGAAATATGAACAACAAGAAGAGACTTTTTATCATCTTTGGTGGACATGTAATAAGGCTAAAAAATTTTGGATCCAAATTCATATATTAATTCAGAAGATTTTGAAAGTTAATATACAGTTAAAACCAGAGACTTTCCTTCTGCAACTGATGAACAAACAACTGGAAAAAGCTCATGGATCTTTGTTTTTATATATAACTGCAGCTAGACTTTTATATGCTCAAAGGTGGAAAGATTTGACATTACCCACAATGAAGAGTGAATTGTGAAGATGATGGAGTTAGAGATGGCAAAATTGACAGCTTTGTTTAGAGAAAAAACATTGACTAACTTTAATGCCAATTGGAAGTCCCTTTTGGACTTTTTGCAGGAGACAGGAAAAAAATGAAATTATGATATATGGCTTTGTTGATTAGTTAAAATAATAGGTTATACAAAATATGTTAAGATGTAGTTTTAGAGTAAGAGGTTACTATATGATTTATCTATATCTGTTGTAAAAGAAGTCGGAAGTCATACTTTTGGTAATTTTTCCTTTCTTCCCTTTATTTTCCATCACTTTTGTATTCTTTCTTTATCTCTAACTCTCTTGTTCTCTACTTCTCTCTTTGATTATTAGTTATTGTTTGCGTTTATCTTTATGCTTTTTATAACTTAATAAAGTTCTTATTAAAAAACAAAATATGTATTGTATCATCTATTATTTGTATTTAATGTCATTATTCAGGGACATTGTTTTATTTCTATTTCCAGTTATGTGGAAAGGAAAGTGGGGAGCATGCAGGCCCAGCATTTGAACAGGCTCCTTTTTAATCATGGTGCTAAAGTATGATTTACCATTATGACTAATGCAGTGCACATACCAATATTTCAGATCCCATGTAACTTTAAACAGCATTATAGAGATATACAGCCTTCAGATAGATAACTTACTTTGAAAGTATACTCCAAATGTTTATCAGATCTTTTCCTAGGTATTCCCTTCAGCATTATTTTCTGAATGTGTACAGCTGAAAATAACCAAAACAAGACAGCGTTCAGTAATTCACAGTGCCGTTTAAGAGTTAATATAAGTTTGTCACTTGTAAGGCCATCTTGTCACTATTACTGGAAATCTAGATTTTTAATAAAATTTCAAGAGATTAATGGCACATCAGTTTGCTTTTAGCCATTCAGTTTTATAATACCATCATTATACAGTCAAACCAATGGACTATAATCAATTGTGTCCCTGCACTGATCGTCTTCCCCCCATCGTTATCCACCCCATAATTGCTCTGAGCGCGCCAAGTGTTTGAAGCCAATTTGAGCACGTGGAATGAAAGTTCTCTCATGTAAGACTAGATACAGCTACTAGATACAGTTACTAAATGTATATTGTCCCTGATATAGTTTGCACAAATTGTACAATGCAAACAAATACAAAGTACATGAATTTTACGTCTACTTCTGTCCTCCAAAAGAGTTACGGAATGCTTTACTAATCAATAGTTATTCTTGAACATTCCCACTCATTTCTCCAGGTACAAAGATGGAAGGAAACCTGGACACCTACAAACTTACCAGGCAGTGGTAGTATGCTTATCACAGCTAGTTTGCAATGATACAAAATTAAAAACAATTTTCCTAGAAGTCAAGCTTCCCAAGACATAAGATTCCATCTATATACCTTCTTGCTGTGATCTGTGAGCGGCCCCCATAAGTTTATCATGAACTGCTGCCCTTTGTTCAAGTAAACTGCTCTCACTTGTTGGCATGCAGTTATGGGAAAAGTTCTAAATTGAAGGAAAGAAAAATCAGAGTGTTACATATAAATGTGATCACTTTTAGCGATACAGAAAATCAAAATGCATTAACTCAAATAAAAGTATACTGTAATCTCAAAGTTTCAGATATTTTTCTCTCCCTACTTGCATTCCACAAAGTTAAGATGAAATAAGTTGGAATGTTGCCAAAGTCACCCAAAAGCTTTAAACTAAGTTTACAGCTTACACCATGTTCATGGCAAATTCAATACCTTTCTTTTCTACTATATTGGAAGTATATTAAAAAAGCATTTATAGAAAAAAAAATGAAAGCTTTCCTGCGCTAATCTTCAGTACTACATAAAACATACAGACAACACACCCCATATATTTTAAGCATTTTGCCTGTCTTCCTAAAAAACACCTATGAGGTTGACTTAAGGTACACAAAACTATCTTTCCCGAAGAAGCTTTTAACATTCATGGTCTACTGTAGAAACTTCACAAGGCATGTACGTCATGTTGTCATCCATTAGTCATCAGTCCATATTTATTTTTCCTTTCATTCAATTATTACTCTTAACGAGAATGGCTTGTTTAGGGAGAATGATATGGACTACAGATCTCCAAATATGTGGTGTTTCATACTACTTCATCTCGATGGTTTGTGGGTGTTGGTAGCTTTGACAGCAGCAATGCTTATCACTTCTTGTTCATGTAAGCATGTGCACAGGTGTTTTGATCTTTTAACATCTGTTAAAAGATGTTAAATTTAATTTTGCAACTTCCAAATCAAAGGTATAGGAATCCAAGTAAATCTGATAAGATCAGCCAGCTGGTACTGACACAATATATGGATTTCTTTAAAATGCTTAACAAAAATAAAAACAAATTGCATCTAGGCAATACTATAGTTCCACAAGCTACAAAAAGAAAAACGAACATGGAAAAACAATAACAAAATAAGAAAAATAGCTGATAGTTGGACATAGATTTCATCCATTAGAACAGTGTTTCATAAACCTTTTTCCCTCAGGACCCCTTCCCACTTTTAAAAATTATGGAGAACCCCAAAAGAGCTTTTGCTTGTATGGGTTACATTTAGCAATATTTACCATATTGTCAGGCCTAGCCCAAAGAACTCCTGGAGACCATGCAGGTTCAATCAGCAGCGTTTATTAGCCAGCGCCTGTTTACAGGAATCTTCTCAGACTGACCACTAGTTCCCAGTCACAGCTATTCACTATCTTCTGGAATGTTTAGGGATGCGCCAGCTTCTTCCGCTTATCTCCAGACCGTTGCTCTGGAGACAAGAGCACCGTTTTCACCCCCCTTCCTCCATTCCAGTCCATCACACATATTAAAATTTATGCATTTGCTACTGCTACTCTTCTCATGATTGTTTGATGGGATTTTAATATTGTATTATTTTTCAACATAGGCTGGCAAATAACTTTGATCACACATATTAAAATTTATGCATTTGCTACTGCTACTCTTCTCATGATTGTTTGATGGGATTTTAATATTGTATTATTTTTCAACATAGGCTGGCAAATAACTTTGATTTCACAGACCTGAGGGGGTCTTGGGGGATTCCCAGGGGTCCTCAGACCATACCTTAAAAAACACTGCATTAGAATAAGGGTAAGAAATTCCCAGCCCAATGTAACCACAAAGCAATTAGAGTTGGCAAAATGAAGGTCTTTCTAGTTGTGGGTCTTTCCATCTATGACCCTGCAACAACTGAAATGTGGTCACTACGTTTCCTTAAAAAAAATGTGACTTTTGGAGAGTAAGAGGAGGAAGGGAAAGGGGAGATAAAGATTAAGTCAACCATCAACATCTAGCCACTTACACAGATCAACAGGGCATTAATAAGAATAACAAGTCTGCAAGAATGCAATAGATTTCTACTGTATTTTCCCATAAACATCTTTTCCATATTTATTCCCAAAGAGAAGGTGTGGTAATGACAATTTTGCTTTAGGGTATTTTCTAAAATAAGCCTGAGCTCTTTTTTATATTCTTACTTTATGATCAGTCTACATATGATAACTGACCAAATTTCTTAATTTCATGATCAAAAGCCCAAAAATGTCTATCTGAAGTATTTATAAGCCTGACATCATCATGCCATGGAAATGGGATACTTGAGAGACATTCTGTCTCTATCTACAAAAGGGGTAGATCTGGCCGAAGGGTGTCACCTGGCAAGGCCTAGGAACATGTCTTGTCTATAGCAGTACCTGCCCTTTGGAACATCATTCCTCTTGAGATTAGATTAGCACCAACCCTACTGGCCTTCTATAAACCCCTTAAGACTGGCTTTTCTTTCAGGTGTTGGAGTTAGGAGGTGATTTTGCTCATGAGTTATATGCATTTGTTTTTGGCTGGTTTTATACTTGGTGGCCATTTTTCTTTTTCTTTTTGCTTTCCTATGTGTTTCTATTTATTTTCTTATTGCATTGATGTTTTCAATGTATGAGCTAACCAGAATCATATTATGTGAGATGAGCAGCCATATAAAACTAATAAATAAATAACAAGCTTCTAAGACACTTATCAAATAAATGAAAAAGGGTATCGACTTTTTATTTTTATGAAAGGACACCAGATTTATTCATCGGAAATGTTACCCTGAAATGAACATGTTTCTTTAAAAGACAATGGTAATTTATGAAAGCTCTGAAAAGCAACAATAAAAATTTCCCCTATTTCCAAATGTGTAGGAATACATCAAGCTGACTTTTAGCTTTTTTTTCTTTAAAAAATATGAAATAGCAAATACACATCCACCCAACTTGTAATCAACAGATATTGAAAGCTCCCATATTTACTTTAACTACTCTACAGTATCAAAAACATAAGCAACAAAGCCATTACTAGGTTCTTCTGCATGACAGGATTAAAGTGATGTTCTACAGTGTAGTAGCCAGAAGAAAGGTATTCCAGCTTAACGATATCTTGACTACAAAAATATTCTGACCACTATTCTCCCTCAACAATAAAGCAAAATAGAGGTTCTGCTTGCATGAAAAACAAGGAGAGGAAAATACTTCCTTTGCCATTATTTCTTTCATCACCCATTAAATACTGTAGTGGCTAATCCATGCAGGATACCTTTTTCCTAAGGGGGTAATGATTAAACAGCCATTTTTGTTCCCACTGGGGAAGAGAAATGTTTAAATGGCTCTTTAGCCAAAACTCATCCTTCCTGCTGATTAGGCACTCCAGTACCTAATTTCTAGAGTTGGGTGGACACTTCACTGTAGCACATTCTAAGAGAAGACGGAAACTTTACTGCAAGGGTGCTGACTAAAGAACAGATAATGGGTAAATAGGCACCACAACATGAGTGGCAGGAGTTTCAGAAGAGAGAAGCAGGTGAACTTCAATGGAATGGAGAACTGACAGAGGACAAGCCTTCCTTTATTCGCCTCCAGTAAAACTGCCACCCATTGCAGGTTAAGTGCTGCAGCAGCTAATCTATGGGCAGGGATGCATTTTCAATATGTGTCCAGAAGGAGCACCTTTGCCCTGATGGGTGGCAGCTAAAAGAGTTGCTTCCCCTCAACTTCCCTTCCCTAGCAATACTCCAAATCCTTAGAACACATCCCAAGGAAGAACTAGAAACCAGGAGACTGTAAGTTCTCGTCCTGCCTTAGGCATGAAAGCCAGTGGGTGATCTTCAGCCAGTCACTCTCCCTCAGCCCAATTCATCTTACAAGGCTGTTATTGTGGGGAAAATAGGAGGAGGAAGGAATATTAGATATGTTTGGTGCCTTGACTTGTTAATAAAAATAATAAAGGTGGGATAAAAAAATCTAAAAAGAAACTAAAGAAATTACGAACTGAAGATGGCTCCACTAAAAGTGAGCTAACAACCATGGCGGAATGAAGAGCCAGCGAGTAGACCCGCTCTTCATAATTCCTCTATGGCCAAGGAGAGGACTTGAGATCGCTCACAAGTGCTCAGACAGTTGCTCATGGGGAGACCGCAACCCAGCACTCTCTGGCGGGTTTAGAGCTCTAGGAGACGAGGGAATAGCCATCTTGCTCAAACCACGGTTGTTGCCTTTAAGAAGGCACTGGGTTCGCATACTTCCTTTTCTAAACATTTTTGGAAATTGCTTGTTAATTGCTTTTCAGCTATTAGGAACCTCTGGATTGACAAATTTTATAGTACTGGGTGAGTTTCCTCCAATTCTTAGCAAAAGAAGTTTTAAATACAAGTTTAAGGAATTATTCTTTTGGAATAAACAGTAAAGGGGTGGTTAGAATTTTGATTTTGGAAAGTTACAGACAGACTACGGGTCCAGATAGATTTAATTGTTTGGAATTAACCGTAAGAATCCCTCCCATGGGAAAATGCTTTTGCTTTTTTAAAATTATCTTTAAAAAATTTGATAGGATGAGACCTGGAAGGCTGGACACTAGAGGGAACCAGAAGGAATTAAAGATTACAGTTAAAGTAGAAGAACACTTAAATTTGACTCACTCATACAGAATGAAGCAAAATATTTTAACATTTGACATACTGAACGATATTTTTGAACAATGGACTCAGAAGTTAATTTTAAGAGTATCTGCCTCTATAGCTAGACTGCATTTAAAAGATGTTATGGAAGAAGAACAAGTTATATCTGGCAAGATTGAGACTGATCTAAAGTGGATTTAAAAATCATAGGCTACAAGAATGACATGGAAAAAAAAAATGCTACTTTGGACATACAAAAGCAGCTGGCTGATGTCTTAATAATTAGAAGGGATATACAAATAACAAACCAAGAGAGTGACCTGGATTATTTTTCTATATTGGATTTACAAAGGAGGCTTGTTAAAGCTTTGAAGAATTTTGTGAGAA